ATATATATAAATATAAATATATAATAGTATCTCAATCAAACTGAAATGAGACTGCTGCAGGTTTTTGAAAGTCAGAATCCTGGTTTGACTGAATGAAGCAGCTCAGCTGATCAGTAGAGATGCTGAGTGTGATGAGAAATACTGACTATTACAATCATGTTTACTGCGCTGTGGTCCTCAGAGAGTGACGGATCTGCTGCCGGCCTGGTTCTATCAGTTCCGCGTGACGATGGAGACGTGGTCCGAGCCGGCGCTGGTCTGCTGCAACGCTTCCACCGTCAGCTTCGTCACAGGTGCGCCGGTCACATGACCTCTGACCCGACCCGTGTCACTCACTAACTAACTAACTAACTGACCTGTGTGTGCTCGCCAGCTCCCGAAGCGCCTCACATCTCGACGGTGGAGTACTCTCACGGGACGCTGTTCGTGCGCTGGACTTACGGCGATCTGTTCACCGATCTCTCGCACTCACGCTTGCTGCACTGGCAGCTGACGGCCGCGGGGAAGAAGAGCGCGAGGAGACGCTACTCCATCCACGTGAGTCTCGGCGACAGACCCTGCTACATGAGCATCACCGCCACAAACAGCTGCTCATTATCAACACGTGTAGAGCAAGTACACTACATAATGTCTTCCCATTCTCCTCACATTCCATTGGTTTCCATCAGTGTTATTTAGTGTCATTGATTTGCTGTTATGGTTTTTATATTTTCTGTTTCGTTTTAATTTTTAGTAGTTTTAGTAAATTTGTTGTGTTTTTTTGTCATATTTATTAGTTTTTGGAGTATTTTAATGTCTGACTAATTTTTAATTAAGTTTTAGTTTTTAGTTTTTGTTATTTTTTCATATTTATTAGTTTTTTTAATGCCTGAATAATTTTTATTAGTTTTTGTTATTTTAGTATATTTTCTGTTTCATTTTAGTTTAAGTAGTTTTAGTAAATTTGTTAAATTTTTTCATATTTATTAGTTTTTGGAGTTTTTTTAAGTCTGAATAATTTTTTACTAAGTTGTAGATTTTAGTTTTTGTTATTTTAGTATATTTATTAGTTTTTTATGTCTGAATAATTTTTATAATTTTTTTGTTGTTTTCGTATATTTTTTGTTTCATTTTAATTTTAGTAGTGTTAGTAAATTTGTTGTTTTTAATATTTATTAGTTTTTGGAGTTTTTTTTATGTCTGAATTTTTTACTAAGTTGTAGATTTTAGTTTTTGTTATTTTAGTATATTTATTAGTTTTTTATGTCTGAATAATTTTTATTATTTTTTGTTATTTTAGTATATTTTATGTTTCATTTTAGTTTTTGTAGTTTTAGTAAATTTGTTTTTATAAATATATATATATTTTTTTTAAATGTTTTTTTCTGTTTTGTCTGAATAATTTGAGTTTTTAGTTTGTGTTATTTTAGTACTTCAACTTTACACAAAAATAAGAATGATGAGTAGTGGCCTCGGCGACTTGCTGAAATAAAACAAGTTAGTTAATGTTTATTTCAAGTCATATATTTATGGTTTTAGCTTTATCTAATAATGATAACCCTGTTTTCCACGGACATTTCATTCCTTTTTTTCATGTGATATTTATTTTTCTCAAACCACCCATACATTAATAAAAAAATATTAAATAAATATAATAATTTTAAAAACTACGTATGTATATATATATACATGAGCAGATTAGATATTCACTTATTATGGTGTTATTTTAAACATATGTAATTTATATAAAAAATGATTATGTATATTGTACACATGAAGAATCACAATCAGATCACATTCAAGTTTTTATTACATTAAATGATGCCCATCTTTTTATTTTTTAATCTAATTTTATTTATCATTAATTAGATTATAATTATAATGTTTATAGTAGCTAGTGATTTACCGCAGTAATATGAGGGTAAGACTCTCTGAGACTCATGAGATAATGAATCTAATTACCCAGCGCACACACACATTTATCTCACGTTTAATTAGCGACGGATGAATGTTTCCACACACATGGAGCCCAGCTGAGATGTATTACACAGACCTCTCCACTGAAGCCTGTGTGAATGTGCAGTGTCGCCATGGAGACGGTTGCTATGGGCTCCGACTCATCGCTGCGCCTGACGACTGTGTTTCAGGTGACCCGCAACATGATGAAGGCGTCTCTGGCTCTTCCTCCCGGAGACATCTACAACCTGACCGTGTCCGCCTGCACCGAGACGAGCCGCAACACGTCTGCGCCGCACATCATCAAACTCGGTCAGTGGCAGGTGAATGGGTGCCGTCAGAACGAGAGCTGATAAAAACATCACAAGTAATCCACAGCACTCAGTTAACTTCCTTTAGTGAATGTGAAGTCGGAGCTGTTCGCACAATCAAGTCCAGAACTAAAACTAAAAGCGCTGCTAGTTTACTGCTGAGCGTGTGTTTTCTGTTCTCGTAATAACTTCTTGTTCAGACGCTGTCAGGACTGTCGTGGCTGCTCCCTTTTATTTTAGTTGTTTTTAAGCTGTTTTCTTGTAAGTAGTGTGGCGTTTGGCTGTTTTGCGAACAGAACCGGCTCCTCCGAAGTCGCTGTACGTGGTCAACGCCACCGACGCGGCCGTCACGCTGCTCTGGACGGAGGACGGCGTCGTGGACTTCTATCAGATCGTCTGCAGACCGCTGCGAGTCAACAGAGAGAGCAAAGTAAGAGCTACTGATCAATATCATAACAACATCTGGAGATGCAGATCGTGATGGAGGTTCTTTATGGTTCTGTGTGTGATGATAAAAGCAGGAGGAATTTGTGCACTATAACTCAGTAACAATTTACAGCCAGGTTTCATTTGTTAACATTAGTTAACTACACTGAACTGAGGATGAGCAATGCTTCTACAGGAACATTAAACATTAGTCAATGCACTGAGAACTAACATAAACAATGAACTACTGTATTATTAACTAACATTAACAAAGAGAAATGTAATAATAATAATAATAATAATATAATAAAAAACAATAATAATAAAATAATATAATAAAAATAATAAAAAATAATAAAATAATAATAATAAAAAATAATAATCAGATGTTCATTGTTAGTTCATGTTAGATAATGCATTAATTAAATATAACAAATAATTTATTTATTCACGATTCGTAATTCATTAACACTTTACAGTAAGGTCCTACTAGTTAATGCAACATAAACTAACATTAACAGCGAGCAACACATTTGTTACAGTATTTATTAATCTTTGTAAAAAAATAAATAGTGCGGTCAAATCGATTAATCGCATCCAAAATAAAAGTTTGTGTTTACATAATATATGTGTATATATAAATACACACACATACTTGTATATATTTAAGAAATATTCATATTCATATTTATTTATGATTTATATTATACATAAATATACACAATACACACATATATTATGTAAACAAACTTTCACGATTAATCAATTTGACAGCACTATTAAAAATGCACCTTTTTTTTGTTTATTAGCTCACGTTAGCTCAGTTACATAATATTAATATTATAAAATAATGTTTGATTTTAATAACGTATTAGTAAATGTTAATTAGTAAATTAAATAAACTTAATAAATGCTTAAAGAATAATTTCCCAATGCTTAAAGAATAATTTTCCATGGTTAGTTTGTGATAACTAATGTAAAACCTTATTTTAAAGTGTTGCCACTCAGTAAAACTTTACAGTAAGGTCCTATTAGTTAACATTAGTTAATGCATTAACTAACAATTACCAATATATTTGTTACAGTAGTGCAGTCTTTGTTAAGGTTAGTTAGTAAAACTGTTCATTGTTAGTTTATGTTTCTCAGGTCCATAAATTAATAACAGATAATGCATCAGTTAATGTTGAAATTAACATTAACTAAGATTAATGAATGCTTTAGAAGTCATTGTAATTGTTAGTAACTAATTGTAACAAATGTGAAGTGTTACTGATGTGTTGTGATGTATTTCCGGATCCCGGCGCTTTAAAGCCTCAGCCTTCATCAGAATGGCAGCAGTGTATTGTGGGATCGAGGCTCGTCATGTGTGTGTGTGTGTGTGTGTGTGTGTGGTTCAGAAGGTGCATGAGCCACTGCTCACCGCCGCTCGTGTCGTGACCGTGTCAGGACTGCAGCCGTCCTCTTCATACAACTGCAGCGTGATCAGCAGCAGCTACAGCAGCGCCAGTGAGCCGGCGTTCATCACCGTCAGCACATCCGGTGAGGAGAGCTTTCACACACTGAGCTTCCGCCGCTCAATAACAGAGAAAAACACACACTGAGCCGCTTCCACCGTCCAATAACAGAGAAGAAACGCAACTGAGACTTTGTTTCTCATGACAAACTCGCAATTCTGAGAAATAAATTCGTAATTATGAGAAATAAAGTCACAATTGTGAGAAATAAAGTCAGAATTGCAAGATATTGTCACGGTCCGTGTGGAGAGATGAGGCGAGGACTCAGAGATGCAGCAATCGGGCTCTTTATTAATAATAAAAATAAACAAAACTAACAAAAGCTACCCCAAGGGGGAAAAACCGGCAGGAAGGCCAGAACAGGGCGCAGCTTGGCAAGGCCACACAGGAACAGGTATAGCAGGCTAAAACAAGGAGCACACAGACACATTAGACCACATACGACAAATAACGAAACAGCACAGGACTGCAAACACAAGGAGACTAAGTAGGGCAGGTAACGAGGGAGACACAGGTGGAATAACTGATACAATAATGAGGTAACAAGATGGGCGGGGTCAGACAATCGACAGTAATTATGAGAAATAAACTCAAAATTCTGAGAAATAAAGTCACAATTATGAGAAATAAAGTCAAAATTGTGAGAAATAAAGTTGCAATTATGAGAAATAAAGTCAAAATTCTGAGAAATAAAGTTGCAATTATGAGAAATAAAGTCAGAATTGTGAGAAATAAAGTTGCATCTCTAGAGAGCTGAGATGGCAGACCCTGTGAGCATTTCACTGTGCCCTGAACCTCTGTGTGTGCTGCTGGACAGAGTTTGATGTCCCTGTGCACAATCCTCCATCATCTCATGCTCAGCCTTGAATAAAACACCTGTAACAACAGGACGCAGACTGACATATGAGCTGCAGGCTTACAGAACATTTCCCATGTGGTTACAAACATCAGTCTTCTCTCATTCTGTACTCCAATTTCAAGAAGATCTCTTGAGTTATTATTCCATTAAATTAAAAAGTATATTGTGTATAAATAAAATATTTAAAAATATTTTACAATAATATGCAATATAATTAAAATATATAATAAAACATTTAACATATTTAACATTATTTAACAATTTGCAGTACAATATGTTGATGTACACAATAAGAGTGTAATAGTGTGGATCTGTAATTAAATTCAGTAAAAATCTGTTGCATTTTTGAAACTTCACATTCGGATTCTAAGAGTAACTTTATTTCTTTTTTACTCTCCTGAAATTGCAGTGTGTAGAACTGTACCTTTCTGAAGGTCATTACTCCACTTTCCAGCAGCAGTGCAAAAGATATTTATCCATCTCTCTCTATCTCACTTTTCCTATGACTTTTAAGCCCTGATATTTTCAGATGAGGAGTCAAACAGCCAAATGAGCACTCTCTTTGTCAGAAACAGAAAAAGCCAGATGTTTCTCTCACTCTCTCATTTTTTACTGGGAAACTAAAGCCAAGTTGAATTCCAGGTCTCACCTGTAATGATCCAAATCATTCCAGACACCCTGTTGGGAAGTACACATGCTGCTGATTACCTGACATTTCATCTTGGGTGGAAAAACACCCTGAACGCATGCTGGAAATTTCTCGACAGTGTCAGATGACATCCCCAGTTTTTATATGTTATGTATAAAAAAGTGTTTTGCGCAAAATTCTAAACCAAAAATATTGCCTCCCTTTCAATCAAAAGTTGGAATTTGAATTGGAAATTATACAATGTAAAAAAATAATATAATAATAATAATAAAAATAATAAAATAATAATAATAAAAAATAATAATCAGATGTTCATTGTTAGTTCATGTTAGATAATGCATTAATTAAATATAACAAATAATTTATTTATTCACGATTCGTAATTCATTAACACTTTACAGTAAGGTCCTACTAGTTAATGCAACATAAACTAACATTAACAGCGAGCAACACATTTGTTACAGTATTTATTAATCTTTGTAAAAAAATAAATAGTGCGGTCAAATCGATTAATCGCATCCAAAATAAAAGTTTGTGTTTACATAATATATGTGTATATATAAATACACACACATACTTGTATATATTTAAGAAATATTCATATTCATATTTATTTATGATTTATATTATACATAAATATACACAATACACACATATATTATGTAAACAAACTTTCACGATTAATCAATTTGACAGCACTATTAAAAATGCACCTTTTTTTTGTTTATTAGCTCACGTTAGCTCAGTTACATAATATTAATATTATAAAATAATGTTTGATTTTAATAACGTATTAGTAAATGTTAATTAGTAAATTAAATAAACTTAATAAATGCTTAAAGAATAATTTCCCAATGCTTAAAGAATAATTTTCCATGGTTAGTTTGTGATAACTAATGTAAAACCTTATTTTAAAGTGTTGCCACTCAGTAAAACTTTACAGTAAGGTCCTATTAGTTAACATTAGTTAATGCATTAACTAACAATTACCAATATATTTGTTACAGTAGTGCAGTCTTTGTTAAGGTTAGTTAGTAAAACTGTTCATTGTTAGTTTATGTTTCTCAGGTCCATAAATTAATAACAGATAATGCATCAGTTAATGTTGAAATTAACATTAACTAAGATTAATGAATGCTTTAGAAGTCATTGTAATTGTTAGTAACTAATTGTAACAAATGTGAAGTGTTACTGATGTGTTGTGATGTATTTCCGGATCCCGGCGCTTTAAAGCCTCAGCCTTCATCAGAATGGCAGCAGTGTATTGTGGGATCGAGGCTCGTCATGTGTGTGTGTGTGTGTGTGTGTGTGTGGTTCAGAAGGTGCATGAGCCACTGCTCACCGCCGCTCGTGTCGTGACCGTGTCAGGACTGCAGCCGTCCTCTTCATACAACTGCAGCGTGATCAGCAGCAGCTACAGCAGCGCCAGTGAGCCGGCGTTCATCACCGTCAGCACATCCGGTGAGGAGAGCTTTCACACACTGAGCTTCCGCCGCTCAATAACAGAGAAAAACACACACTGAGCCGCTTCCACCGTCCAATAACAGAGAAGAAACGCAACTGAGACTTTGTTTCTCATGACAAACTCGCAATTCTGAGAAATAAATTCGTAATTATGAGAAATAAAGTCACAATTGTGAGAAATAAAGTCAGAATTGCAAGATATTGTCACGGTCCGTGTGGAGAGATGAGGCGAGGACTCAGAGATGCAGCAATCGGGCTCTTTATTAATAATAAAAATAAACAAAACTAACAAAAGCTACCCCAAGGGGGAAAAACCGGCAGGAAGGCCAGAACAGGGCGCAGCTTGGCAAGGCCACACAGGAACAGGTATAGCAGGCTAAAACAAGGAGCACACAGACACATTAGACCACATACGACAAATAACGAAACAGCACAGGACTGCAAACACAAGGAGACTAAGTAGGGCAGGTAACGAGGGAGACACAGGTGGAATAACTGATACAATAATGAGGTAACAAGATGGGCGGGGTCAGACAATCGACAGTAATTATGAGAAATAAACTCAAAATTCTGAGAAATAAAGTCACAATTATGAGAAATAAAGTCAAAATTGTGAGAAATAAAGTTGCAATTATGAGAAATAAAGTCAAAATTCTGAGAAATAAAGTTGCAATTATGAGAAATAAAGTCAAAATTCTGAGAAATAAAGTTGCAATTATGAGAAATAAAGTCAGAATTGTGAGAAATAAAGTAAAAATTGCAAGATATAAACTTGTAATTGCGAGAAAAAGTCAGAATTTTAAGATTGAAATTCAGAGAAAAAGCCAGAATCGCTAGATATAAACTCATTAATGCAAGAAAATAAAGTTGCACTGATTAGAAAAAAAGTCGGAATTGAAAGATATAAACTCTTAATTGTGACTTTTTTTCTCAGAATTGCAATTTGCGATTCTGACTTCACAACACACGCAGTTGCGCGGTTACATCTCAGTTAAGCGGCGGAAATGAGCTTTCGTAGTTCTGAGCTCTGTTTCTCTCAGACTGGTGAATTGAAGAGTTCAGTGTCTCAGTGAATGAAGCTGTAGTGTGTGTGTGTGTGTGTGTGTGTGTGTGTGCAGTGCGCGAGATGAACCCGAGTGTGGCGGCGATCTCTGCGCTGGCGGTTCTCAGTGTTCTGCTCATCAGTCTGCTGGCGTTCTTTCTGCTGGTGCTGCGCAAGAAACACATGGAGCTGAGCCGGTGAGCAACATCACTCAGCTCATTCACATTCATGCTTTAACAGAAAATCAGCCGCTCATCATGTGACTCTACAAATTTTTTGGTTGCAAAAAGTCAGTACTTTTGTCATTTTCCAGTACTTGAGATGCAAAGTGACTTGGAATATTGTTTTATGGAAAATGCATCAAAAGCTAAAAACAAAAACAGATAATGGGCTCAGAAGAATCAACTTAATTAAAAGGGAAAACAAGATGATTTTTTTTGACTCCTTCAGATGTTTGTTCCAGTTTTAAGCAAAAACTCACTTCATTTTGATGCATTTTTATTAAAACAAGACTAATATCTTGCTTCTCAAGTAAATGTGTCTTGATTTAAGAAGTAGTTTACGCTGTCATCGTTTACTCATTGAGATGCTGTAAAATGTCCCGGTTATGTTTTTGTTGATTTGGACCCCATCGACTTTCACTGTGTTTGCAAAAACAGCGGAAACACACTTCAGAATGTCTTAGTTTGTGTTTCGCAGAAGAAAAGCATTCGACGTAAGGGTGAGCAGTGATGGGGAAAGTTACTTTTAAAAGTAATCCATTACAATATTGTGTAACTAAGTAACTAATTGCGTTACATAGTTACTTTTTATTGAAAGTAATGCATTACGTTACTTTTTGTCACCTGAGCTGGGCTTGTTTATTTCTTTTTTTAATAACAAAAAACCCATATGTTATATTTTTGGCAACTATAAGGACCCTTTAACAGCTAAAATTAAATTAATAAACCTGCAGTAACTTGCATTACTTATTTGAAAGCGTATCTCAGATATTTCGTTTTAAATTTAAAAGTAATTCATTACTTTACTAGTTACTTTAAAAAAAGTAATCTGATTACTTAACTCACGTTACTTTGATGCGTCAAAAATTATGACAGCCTTCTTATTTTGAGTTTCCGTTACCGGCAGGAGTAATATCTGTGATATTTTTTTATTACTTTATTTAATACTGTAAAACGAGAAACATAATTTTTGCAGTGTAATGCACATGGATTGCAATGTTTCAGAATCTGAAAGTGCATTGGATTAGTGCGGATTGATGAAATTAGTGCTACATTTAAGTGATTTTTGAGCAGTTAATGGTCTTTATCATTTGTCTGATTTCAGGGAGTGCGGCGCTGAAACCTTCGTGAATTTCGCTTCTTTCGAGCGAGACGGGAAGCTGCCGTATAACTGGTAGGAGCTCCTTTAAGTGATGTTAATGGTCTTTATCATTTGTCTGATTTCAGGGAGTGCGGCGCTGAAACCTTCGTGAATTTCGTGAATTTCGAGCGAGACGGGAAGCTGCCGTATAACTGGTAGGAGCTCCTGCGTTTCTCGCTCTCAATCAATCACACACACACACACACACACCACACACCCTCACACGCTCACACACACACACACACACAC